ATTATTTACTATATAATTTTTATATTAATTTTAATTAAATTTTATATAGTAAAATTTAAGAAATAATAATTAAAAAAAGTTATCATTAATAAATTTTTTTTATAAAAGATATATAATAAAATTTTTTATATCTAAATACCTAATAACTTAATTAAATAAGACAGAATTAAATTTTATTTTGAAAAAATAATCTATTAATTTTTATCTGAGGTACAAATCTTTTTGCACTGATCCATATATATAATAGCGTATGATAAGAGAAATTGACTTTATCATACATTTTACTGGTCATCTATGATTTTTCTCAGATATTATATCGATATTAATACTGTGGACTGTGGAAAAGCTATAATAATAACCATAATAATAACCATATTGAATATATGAAACTTCGCACGTCATCAAGCACGGGACACCGAAAAATTAATCACTCCTATTTTATCATCCGCGCGTAATAAACAAACGCCAAGATAAACTAGATTTATTTGTAAAAGGTTTCATTCGTCTCAATTTTTTTTTATCTCCTCCTTACTCATTTTTGCTTGTCTTTTTATTTTTGCTTGTCTTTTTACTCACTTTTGCCTGCTTACCCACTCTCGTTTACTCATTTTCGCTTGTCCACTCTTGCTATCTCGCTGTTGTTCACTCTTGCTTGCTCACTCTCACCCTTACCTATCCTCTTTTATTCACTCACGCTCTTGTCTATTTTCGTTCACTTTCGCTTGTTTATATCTTCGTTCTCCCACTTGCTTTAGTTTAATCACCTCTTCAATCTTGTTCACTTTTCGCTTGCCCAAACTCGCTCTTTGTTTGCTTTCACTTGTGCTCCCTTCTAACCACTCTTGTTCATTCGCTTGCCCACTCGCTCTATCGTTTCTTGCTCTCGCGAATTTGCGCTCTTCCATTTGCTCACTCGTTTGTTAAATATATTTCTCGAACGAATTTATATTACTTCTGTTTTAGAGTTACAAAAGATCCTATGACGGGATATAACCTCGGATTACATGGTTGTGAGTCTTTAATTAGATAGGTGAGTGGGTGCACACGCTTGCTAAGTGAATGTATCTTGGTCACGCTCCTTGAAATCTTTTGCGAGAATATCATCGATCTTAATCTGAATCATT